CGCAGTATTCTCCCTCACAATCTGAACTTGGGTCTTCTTTCAGAGACAACTTATCAATGGCTGTACAAAGTTCAGTTTACCCTAATGTGCCAGGAATGTTACACCTCCTAAACTTCAGGTATCACAATCATAATCCAGCAGACTATAGTATTGCCAATGCATCGTCCTAGTCAAAGGTGTCAGATATCTAAAAGAAAAAGTCTCTGGGATGTAACGTTAAGCATGCTGCAAACAGGCTCACTAAACAGCTATTTTCCAGTAGCTGCTTTCAATAACAGCAAGGTTACAACTAACATTAGCTTCACATAGTCTACCAAAACAACTTGAGCAGAATTAACATAAACGCTTAATTGAGTTGAAAGGACATGCAAGGTCAAAGATCAATACTTGCTCTGGCCTAGTGGGTTATAGTTAGATTTCAGCTGGACGCCAAAAGCTAGCTAGCTGGCTAACTGTCAGTGAGTTAAAACCTATGGTTAAAACAACACAGACTGTTGGCAAGCTAGTGTGGCTAACTAGCATGGAAGCTAACTTACAGCCAACCAAAGGGAGCTTTGCTAGCCAGTGCAAGACTATGCAAAGCTCAGTTAATGTATAGCACGCAGTCAACAACTTTACTTTCGTGACAGATACTAAACTAGCAAACATTTCAAGTATAACTCTATAATTTAGTAATATACTTACTAAGCAGCCTCGCAAACAACCTGCTGTGAGACATCTTCGGTCATTCACCAATGACACCGGAGGATGAGGACCCGACACACGACTCTAAGCTGACTAGAATTATTCCCTTCAAATGCGATTTTTTTTAAGAGCTAGATTTGATTTTATAATTTAACAATGCACTTCAGGCTTTCTTTACTAATATACAATAGCCTGCTGATGTTGAATGTAAACAAAGTATTTACATAGAGGGATTTATATATTCCAGGCGAAAACGTCGGCTGCTTCGTTTTGCAAGGCATTCTGGGTAGTGTAGTTCTAATCATAATGGGTGAAAGAAACCTTAACAGCACTAGAGGTCGCTTCAACCAAATGGACAGTTCGAGTAAATGTCTTAGACCCTGAGCTAAAAATAAAATTAGGCTGAAAGTTCTTTTTGACCTTGCACTCAATTTTCATATTTAAATTAAAGGTCCACATTCAAGCATTTTGCATGTCTTTTAACAATATGCTGTAGATGTTTATGATATATATTTACCTCAGAAATATAATTAAACGTTACATAATGCTATATATATATATCCATATATATATATATATATATATATATATATGGATATATTGAGAGAATGGTTCTAGCCTATTTTACTATCTGGCTGCTGGGAGCTTAACCAAAGACATACTGTCACTTTGTATACATACTTTAATAACAGGAATGCTGAGTCTCAGATGAATAACCCTGTGAGGTGAAACCATGTAATAAAGGTATTCTGATTCTGATGACTATACCGAAACTGTAATCCAAAGTGGCAAAGGTTACTTTGCAAAAGTTTGATTGTTGAATGTACTATTGTAAATCATAATTTCCTAATCATAATACAGGAAATAATGTAATGTAAAATATGTAAGCGTTTTATTTTGTTTTTTTCCTTTTCAATCAGCATGAAATTAGCTGGAGGATTACTTTAAAGTTAAAGGTGGGGTATGTAATATATTTCAGAAACACTTTTTGTTATATTCCATGGAATGCTCTTAACATCGCAATAACAATGAATATATTAAATGCTTTGACAATAAATACATAAAAAATATTCATCTGTGGAAGCCGTAGCGCTGTAAAAAGCACGACCAATCATTTTAGCCGGCCCGGCTAAAATAACTGGATGGCCTACCTGCCTGTCAGCCTTCCATCTGTGCACAAACTTATCTCGTGCCCTCATTGGTCATGTGCGTGTTCGTGTGTGTTGGAGGAGGGGCTCTGTAAGGAAGTCTGAAGGAAGAGGCAGATTTTTTCCGGTTGTGTACTTTCAAATTCTAGCGCACTCGAGCTGGTTTCTCCAACATTACATACCCCACCTTTAATGAATGTATCATGTTAAATACATTCAAATTCCAAATAGAAGAAGAGGCAGATAGGGCCGGCCCTCGGCATAGGCAGTATAGGCGAATGCTATGGGCGCATCAAACCATCCGGGGCGCCGAAAATTGGGGAGAAAAAAAAAGAAAAAAGTTAGAAATTTAAAAAATATTTTTTTTGATATTTCATAACAACACAATTTATTATCTTATTATCTTATACTAACAGAACTACGCCTATATTGCGTACAGTGTCTATTGCGCACCCCACCCACCCCCCAAAATCATGTTGAACTGCCCCAGCCCCAGTAAAAACCAGAGGTTTATGTGAAATTGTTCTTTTTTTGAAATAATGGTTTTAGTGTGCAATTATAGGTTTTATTTTTGTATTTTTGTTAATTTAAAATAAATCAAACTCCCAAAAAAACGTATACAGCTTCTGTGTGCTTTTATTAACATTGGAATTTACTGTTTAAGCGTCCGCGGGGGGGGCGCATTTCCACTACACGGCCTCGCTCGGCCTCGCTCGGTATGGCTAGGCCTCGTTATGCCTTGTTAGGACTGGCTCACTTTATGCTGCGCTTCCAGTTTAGGAACTGGGGTAGTATCGTAACGGAGCCGTGACGTCATCTTCAATGAGCACCCCAGAAAAACAACATCAGCTGTTAGCACTCAAGCTCACAGCTCCTCATATCTGTTCAGAAACTAGACAAAAGTTAAACAAGTACAAACCACAGACTGTCTGTGTCATGGCGAGTACAGTCGCTGGTTTATTTATGTCTGTATAGGCCGTTGTTGTGAGTGTGGACGGTCGGAGCATATATTGCGTTAGCTTAGCCGATCTCCATTTAGACAACAAGGTTTTTCGCCTGCCGTCTGTCTGCAGACTTCTCAAAGCATTAATTCATGGTTTTTACTAACCAGTATCAGTATGTTGTTACTTCGGCATCATTTTGAAACGTGTATTACAATTAAATCACGGTCAAATATGTTCATCTTGTTGTAGTTGTAGCCCCCTTGCCAGCGATTCTCTCTCTAGTTTAGCAAACTCAGCCCGACTCAGCCCTGTTTGTTGGCCCCGATAGAACCACAATTTTGTCGGGCCAGAAAAAAGGTGAAAAAGTAGCCCCGGGCCGGAACTAGGCATAGTGGAAACGCAACCAAAAACGGGCCCGGCACGACACGGCACGCTTAAACCGCTCTCCGCACCATGGTGGAAATGCGCCATTAGCAGTGGCGGCGCCAGGGTATGGCTGGGGTAGGCTACAGCCATACCAAGAAATGGCTTAGCCCCACCTTAGCCCCACCATGAAAAATGATGTTAAAGTAAGCAAAATAAAATCCGCCAACTCGCGCGGAGTAAATTGCACAGACTGATTGATTTCAGTAGCCACTTGTCTGGAAATACCGAAGACTAGAAACGGTTTTGAAACTTTTGTCACGTAGTGATCGTCTTCTTAATAAAACATCTTTGATAATGTCTTCTGGACAATCAGAATCACGATAACGGCGTGGTGTTGTTGGAGGAAGTCCCGACGGAGAATACTTTTGCTGTAGTACATCTCTATATACATCGATACAACATTACGTGTTGATAGAAATCAACACGTAATGAAATAAGACACCAAGGTTTGATGATTGATAGGTGTGTGGGCTGTCTTTCATTTTGACACGCAGAACAATGGGGGCTATCCACCCTTTTCCACAATGTAAAGTAATTCACACAGCCTCTTCCCCTTTCTCTCTGAGGAGCAGCAGGTTCAGCTTTCAGAACAAAGTAACAAAAAACAAAAATAGCATTCATTTTTTTAAATGTGTAGTAATAGATTTATTTATTTTTCTTCTCAAGAGAGTACCAGAATGTGTATTTTATGTTAGTAAAATTAGTTAGAGAATCCCCCAGACCCCCCTGCAGGGGTTGGGTTTTCAGCAAGTCAACTCTTTCACCTGTGGGGAAATTGCAGGATTGGCTCCAGGTCGCCCTTTTTATTTACTACAAGACAAATGTGCCTTTTTATTTCATACAGTTCAATTTGGATTGAGACAGGGAAATAATCTAAACCTCACGCATGGCATTTCACTGTCAAGGGGGGCGATATAGCGTGTATGTAATTACATTGCAAATACTGACTTGAGCCCCACCACTGTATGGGTTAGCCCTACCATAGATTACCCAACAAAAATACTCTGGAGCCGCCACTGGCCATTAGAGAGCTCTCTCCTGAAAGATTGAGAGGCTCTGATAACCTCAGCTCAGTGAGGTAAAGGCACACCTTTATATGATTATTAAAGTTATAAAAAAATAAGAGAATAGATGAAAAACAGGTATAGAGTACTATATGACAGTAAAACAAAATTGTTAGTAATAAACAAGAATACAGTTTGAAAGGGGAGTGATTTGTAAAATATCCATAAATAAAAAATAAATCTGCTTACAGTTCTGTTTCATATTGATGTTGAGAGATGTATCCATAGATCTCCTAATGTTGCTCTTAAAGTGCACCAGATTGATGCTTTTAACTTCAATATAAAAAAAAAAAATCTTGCCTAGGGCAGCAAATTGGTCGGGGCCGGCCCTGGGCAGATTAAAAAATATCCATGTTAAAATGTACCTTGCAATCTATGTTTTTTATTACTTAAACTGCTGCCTCTCTTTGACAGGTATTCCTTGAAAAGAGATGACTGATCTCAATGACTTACCTTTTAATTAAGGATTAGTAATACATATATTAATATATATTGTTTTATTAACATCAAAGTTCCCAAACTTTTTTTTTCATGTATTTATTTAACCGTATAGAGTTCTCAAAAAAGGGAAGTTTACGAGGATTCCTTGAAGTAGACCGAAACCACCTCTTTCCACTTTCACGCTGAATTCAAGTTGTCCAATCAGGAGCCACCAACTCCTCCAACGCCGATTGGTCACGCACCTTAGCGTCACAGTCGTTGTTACGTGTATTCACGAAACCGTCAACGCCTGTTTTCTCCAATTGTTTCCACGGTAATACTTTACGTACCGGTGGAAAACTACGCTCAGAAATGAACGCAATGACATAAACGAGTCCCAGGAACTACCGAAGTCAAACACAAAACCTGCCACATTGAAAAATTCAAGATGGTTTTAGAATCCATTTCAAGGATAATAAAAGTCCAGCTTCCAGCCTACCTCAAGAGGCTTCCGCTTCCGGAGACGATCGGCGGATTTGCCAGGTTAACAGGTAATTTAACTGCATCAGTGTTCAACTTCTGACTGTCAATTGAAGATGACTTCTGAACGTATGGGAGCCACTTTCTAGCACAGAGCTCTTTGCTATAGCTATCATGCAAAGTGGAAAGTCAGTCATAGTCGTGTTGTAGTTGTGAGTGTCCTACAACACATGTTTTATATCCTGACGTGCGGATTGTCTTCCAAATACACCCTTTATCATAGTTAGAGTTTAGTTAGCAACAACTTGGTAATTACTTTAAGCTTTAAGCAATACACTCTTACGTTTGATTGTGTTTGAATACTGTTACAATGCTGACCCATATGTGTCTGAATTTAATAGGTTGCAACCTGTCCACTTCTGTGTAAGTGATATCCTGTAGTGTTAATCCAAACAATTGTAAATGAAATGCTATGTTGCCTCTAGCACAATATATAACCATGTCGTCTCAGCAATTGATGCAAAGGCTGGAGAGTTAGTCCTAGACCAGAAGTTACTGACAGTCTCAGAACACAGGCTACCTCAAGATCATTGTTTCACAACCTCTTCATGTCTTTGACCCTGTTCATGTTTTCATATCAGTGAAAGCAGAGCTACAACAATGTACTCAATCATGGGTTATTTCAAGCAAACCTTGGTCACCTTGGTCTTGGCATGACTTTTAAAAACACATGTTTAATACAATATATAATACAAATGCATCCTTAAGAGGTTAACAGAAATACAAGCATGGAAAACTTTATGATATTCTGTTTTAACAGCAATGGGAAAGTTCCAGCAGGATTGGTTTTGGGATTATTTTGAATACATTAAACAAATGTCATGGGATTGGTCTGTATGGATGTCACTATCCATCATCTCAGAGTTCAGGCTGTCAAATTCAATTTAGGAAAAAAGAGAGATCAGTTATCCATACTCCAGTATCAGCAAATTCTCTTAGATGAGTATCACGATCAGAAATCGACGAGGACTTTTTTTGGAAGTTTAGTCTCAGAAAAACTCTGCTGGACTACATCATGAGTGTGTTTTCTGTTGCAAGTGACATCTTCCAACTGTTAAATCAAGGACACCAAAGCTGATTCATGAACGTCTTTGCAACTCTTTTACAAAGACTCGATACACTTTAAACATCTTATTGTTAAGTTTTAAATCAAGAAGAGCACAAAAGTGGTTCGGAAAGCCTGAGTGAAAGCCCGCCTTAAAGCAGATCCACAACTTCAACATGACCTTTCAGCCAACACAGATCCCTGGAAAGTATCAGATTTGTCCTAAAAATAGCCCCAAAAAGTGAAAAGCTGAGCTCGCTTGCATGACTGAAACTCTTTCATGACCGAATTGACATGCTACATTCATTTGAGTAATTTGTCTCTAAGAACTCCGTAAAAGTAAAAACCTGCATGAAACAGGATGTTATATTTTATAATAGTACTTAATACTCATTGATAAGGCTTAATATAATTGGTTATTAGGTCAAGATGTTGCCTGAAGTTAAACCTGTTCCTGAGGTTGTATTTTCAGTCATAAATGAGCAATTAAGCTAATCGGTGCAGATTAGAAGATGAAAGATTTATCCAGTGCTCCTACATGTGATTATAATTCCTTAAAGAGATTAAAGATTAGCATTGACCCATTAGGCATCTAAATCCTTTTACTGGAAAATAATTGTAATAGCCATAAGATTATTATAAAAAAAGTTCCTGGAGCTGGGCTAAAACTCATAGCTAATAATATATAAATTGTGGTTAATCTTCACCATGCCCCAATGGTCTATCCTCTCCATGTATGGTGGACTTTATGATGGGTTTTCCCAAAGCACTTTTCTGGCTCAGTGTGGAATTCCCCCCGATAGCTGTGTATCACTCACACTAATAGAGTGGAAATACAGATAAGAGGTGAGCTTGTCCTCCAATGTGTTACCCTAGCCTAGAGTGACCACACTGGGATGAGGATCTTGGACTCACCTTAGAATCATTTGTTTTAAAAATAGATGTAATTGCAGTTAACACATTTCACATATATGCCGTAACTTTAATCTCTCCAAGTTTTGTTGTTTCGAATTGTTTCACTTCTATTAATCTTACTGTATAGAAAAGGGGGGAGAGAGTGAGAAACAACATGCAACATAGGTCCCAATGTCATTATCGAACCTGGGAAGATGCAGTTATATTTTCCTTACATGTGCTGTAACCACAAGGCTACAAAAGCACTCCATCGCTAGGTTGTTAAATATCTTATTAATATCATAGTAGGCTACTTGATGTCAGATATTATTGGTGATTGCTTTTTTTTATGACTGTTGACTGTGTTGTGTTTCAACATTTCATAACTTCAGATAATATATTTGTATAAAATATATATTTTTAATGTGTGTGTAGTGTCTGAATGGCTCCGGTTGCTGCCTCTCCTGGGTATCCTGGCTCTGCTGGGCTATCTGACCATTCGCCCCTTCCTGCCGAAGAAGAAGAAGCAGAGGGACAGCCTGATCAACCTGAAGATCCAGAAAGAGAATCCCAAAGTGGTCAACGAGATAGACATCGAGGACCTGAACAGCGCAAATGTGTGTTACTGTCGCTGCTGGCGCTCCAAAACTGTGAGTTGAATCTCTTTGCATATGTATTCGTAGTGAGCAATAACTGAGTTATTTTTATTTTTCACACAGAATTATTAAAGCATTTTACTTGCTTTCATTAGCTAAGTCATACTGTCTCCAATCAATAATGATATGTTTTACTATGCAGGATAAGGAAGAGTGTGTCTGTATTTTGCTGATCAACTAACGCCAAGTTGTTTCCTTTTCTAGTTTCCTGTTTGTGACAAGTCACACTTAAAGCACAACGAGCTAACAGGGGACAACGTGGGACCGCTCATACTGAAAAAGAAGATACTATAATTGATCACTGATGGAATGTTCTTCTCACCTCCTCTGTCTTTAGTTTTTATTTCTTAACATGATTCATTTTTGTTCCTTTTCTCACCCTGTTGTCATGTTTATGTTGCTCTGAAATGTGGATGACAAGTCTTTGTTTGAAGTGATACACCTAGAAATACAAAACGGAACAGAAAACTGTATTTTAGGATCTTTACATCACATTGTGCAGTAAAGAAGCTTTTTCTCCTACTTCTTTTATAGGTGTATCTTCATAGTTTACTTTTGTTTGGTTAACAGCCTTTTTATATGTCTGTAACTTTAATTTTAGCCAGGTCTCAACTATTTTGGAATCAATTACAAAACATTGGGACCACTTTTGAGAGGAAAACTTGAAACATAATTGCAGTGACTTAATTTGTATAAATTAAATACTTAAATACTAGTCCAACCTCTGATGAACACTTTGTTCTGTATGTCTTCATTTTGGATGTTATTTTGGTATTTTTTAACAAACCATCTCTTTGTCTGTGTGCCAATATACTCTTCACTCTTTCACGATGTGATATATTCTCTTATAAGTTATTGTGTGTATGGGAAGCTATTTGTTATTCTTCAGATTCATTTTGAAGCATTTGAGTTTTACATTTTGTATTCAACTCTGTTGCCTACAAACATTTCAAACCACTGCATTGTTGATAAATATCCAGTTACACAGGTGTAACCTCCCTACACTGTCGAGGTTTCAGAAAGATATTTGCTCTGTACTGTTTTTCAAGCTTCTGCCTTTTATAATGGCTGTATACAGCTGACCTCCTACTGGAATATTCCTACTTGATTGATCAGCAATATTTTATACATAAATTGCTTGCATTATCAAAACTGTATGTCCATGATGTCTATTAATAACTGTGTTCATGAACCTTTGTAAGATTATGGCTTGAATTGATTCATTCTGTGCTTAATGTGTAAAAAAGGAATAGTCGACAGAACTGCAGCTTCGTTGCCTTCTCTCTATACTACGACAGGGGACGATTTATGGACCCTTGAGCTGAAATAGATTTTCAATTAAAGATAATTGAGCATATCAACTGATCACATCAGTTTCTCTGCTGCTCACTTTTTCAATAGGACTGGCATGCAGAGCATAACTTCGGGGTCATATTTATAAAGAAGTGCATTATTTTTGCCACTTTTGTCAATAACACACACAAAGAAAACATGCACCAATGCCATCAAATGTCCTCATGCACATGTATTTTGTGAAATAAAAGCAATAGAAAACAAGACTAGGACTTCAGTCTGTATTGGCTCTATGAGGCTGATGCAGTGTGCTACATGCCAACATGCTTTGGTGTTACATGCTGATGTTTAGCACGTATCATTTTTGACCATGTTAGTTGGCATGCTTATATTTGCCGATAAGCACTACACATAAAGTTCAGAAAAGGCTGTTGGGAATGTCATTCATAGATATATACCATTTTATCAAACCCCGACAAGGTTGTTTAATTATTTCAGCCTGGACCAAGGTGGTGAACCAACCGAACGACCAACACTTCCATCCCTAGAGCCACGCTGCAAGTATGGATAAAAAGCAAACTGATAAGAAGCCGAAACCTCAAGGGACAGTGACTTAAAATAGGACATGATTGTTGGTAGGTTAGTGAAATTCTAAAAATATTTAGCATTGTCATAATTTAAGCTATCATTCTATCACTATCACACAATACATTCAAAATACTAGAAGAACAATTATTGATGTGTTTTATCATTATTACTTAAAGAATATTTGGTAAAAAACTAATGCTCAATTCTTATACTTTGTCATAAATAGTTTATAATAATACATCACGTGGCAATGCAATACATTCAAATAAAAACATTAAGTTACACTGCATACTTCTGTAATAAAAACAAATGAAAAAAATATGAAAAATCGACTTTCCCTTACAATCAAAGGTATGGTTTACATGAGCGTTTTGAATATGGAAATGGAAATGGTCATTGTTGAGTATCTGTGAAAATGGAAACCGACATAGCAAAATGTAGCAGAGGATGGGTGTTTTAGCAGCATTTTGTTTAAACCGTAGGAAAGTATGTCAACTACACAATATCCGTCTTATCACCAATACACGGCTAATACAAATTATTTCAAACATACGCAAAAATAAAACAAACACATAGCTTTAAGAATATTGTACTGTGAGCACAACACCTACAGACTGTGGTCTAATTTAAAACAATACAATATTACTACCGTCAGTGCATTGAATTATGTAGTGCTCAAAAGACAATGGCTTCTAATTAAATACAGCATTTCCACCTGTTCAAGTCCAAACACAGTGACAAGTTAACTGATATGTCATTACAGTCATACAAATGGAAAAAAGTGGATTTATTGAACATGATAGGCAGAAAATAATATCCGCTTTTACAAAAATGTAAACCATATTCATGCCTCACACGAATATATCTGATTAAAAGTTAATTGGGGACCAGAAACAGAACCACCTCTTACAGAGTCTCATACAGCATGACTGTGCACACGCTTGGATGTGGGTCATTTGTTTTAAGCCCGAGGCCTGGAAACCACCAGAGGCTATAAATACAGAGTGATTCATGTGTTCCTGCAGCACGGCAAACATCAGGAGCTGACCGGCAGATGGAGAGACAAAAGAGAGCCACTCTGTAGCTAAAGGAAAACTCAAATATCCGAGGTGTGAAAGCACCAAGGAAGTCTCCTTAAATGTCCCTGCTTACTGGATGAACACAGGTGATGTCAGAGTGTGCTTTCATAGGTGATAGGAGATTCATTTTCATCTTCACCTCCTGCTGCAAGGAATTTTCAAGATGGAGAGTAGACAGAGGGAGAAAAAAGTCATGAGAAAAGCTTGGGTAAAAGACTTATCACATGCTACACAGAATCTGTTGTAAACAAACAAAAGTGTACAACCATGTGTTCAACTTTTGCACTGTGGTTAATCCAGTGTACCTACACTCTAACAGAAACAATGCCAGTGTTGTGTGGATGTAAAATACATGGATGAATGACAGGGTAAACAGAACCTATGCAAATCATTGTCTGACTGGACGCATCTATCATGAAGGTAAAAAGTATATTCACTATTCAAACAAAAAAGTGCAGCGAGGTCCGAGAGCAGTGTTAAGCGGAGTGGACTTGATGAATGTAGGACTTTACCTACCTAAGAAAAAGGCTGATACAATGGGTTTGACTCGCTCACCACAGGCAGAGTTCTTTGGTTTCTGCAGCAGGCGAGGTCCAGTGAGCCCTATGATCAGAGCTCCTACAGGGGCAGTGAGCAGGATGCCCAGCACAGCCACAGTCAGCACATCCATGCCGTACTTCTGCAACTGCTTGTCGTCCTTCGACCGGGCCATGTCCAAAGCTGTGGAGCCTATGGCCGCCTGAAGAGAGCAAAACAAAAATAGTGATTTCTTCCATTCTCAATTACAACATAAAACACATTTAAATGTCCATACAGACAGAACATTTTTTGCAGATATGAACTACAGAAATGATTTGCTGTAAAAATTCTAAACTGAGCAGAAATTAAAACTCCCAGAAAAGCAGATGGCAAAAGTACACACATCCTTTACTCAAGTAGAAGTACAGATACTCGTGTTTAGAAATACTCTGGTAAAAGTAGAAGTACTGACTAAACTTCTTTACTCAAGTAAAAGTAAAGAAGTATGGGCTTTCGAAATGTACTTAAAGGACACCTATCATGCTATATTTAAATGATATATTGTAGGGCCATATCTATATAAGGTATATTTATACGTTTCTGTTTTCAAAATACCAAACAGATCATGCATTTTCGCCATGCCTCATTTCGCTCTATTTGCTGTTCTCCAGCCCTGTTTTTGCAAGGGGCTGATTCTGTGAGCTGCAGCTGACCACGCCCCCCTGCAGGAGAGGGGAGCGTGCTCTGATCAAGTCAGAAGAGGGGGAGAAAAATAGATCTCCGTCCTCCGTGTTTTATTATATTATTATATAGAGTCGTTATTCATTTGTTTTAAAGCTCAATAAATAACAAAGAAGACCTTTGACCGGCACTTTTCTAATTTTGTCCGGAAGATTTAAACTTTAACGGACATCTTGACCGGCGAAAGAAAACCTAACTGAAACTCTGCCGCACGGTCCCCTCGTTCCTTGGAAGAGGCGGAGAGGTGGGTGTTTGTCATCTGCTGGTGGACTAACCGGAGAGAATTACAGTGCTTGCCTCGACGGGGAGGGATTGCATTGAATTAAAGCAGCGGGAGCAAACGCTTGTCTCGGGGAGGGAGAAAAAAAGCCACCGCGGAGAATAAACAGAAGGGAAACCATGGCAACCATGCGTGGGAAGTCTTCTTCGCTGCTTTTGTGGCAGACTACAGCGCCACTTACAGGCCTGGCATATGTACTACAGCATCTCCAGCGCTTTCGAGCGGCAATGGCCGGCCGTGGCCCAACCCCACATTCCCCTGATAGGTGGAGAGTTGGCCCAATAGCCGTAGCGCCACCGTCCTGACGTCAGTAACGTGTTCAAATCTGGATCAGTTTTTATCAGATCCGTTGCAGCCCCGTTTTTAGAGATTTGGGTATGGAGGAAAATAGAGAGGGTTGTGTTTTCTGACACTTGGTGAGTTCCCTGGAACACCGGGGACACATATTCATGTATAAAAGACGTACAAAAGTGCATTTTGCATGATAGGTCCCCTTTAAGTAAAAAGTACCTATAACTACCAACTGTTTTAAAGAGTAACTGACCTCACTTTTTATTAATAGAACAATAATGTAATTGTTAGCTAATGAATGTTTCGATGCTGAACAACGGCAAAATGACAAAGTTTCATTGGTCCCTCTTGTTTAAAGAAGACCAGGAAATGATGGATACACTGATCGTGTTAAAATCAATAGGCACGCAATGACTCTAAATAATAATGATCACGCCACCAAACACAGATTAAAACTAAAGTAACAAACCTGTTTTGAAAATGTAAGAGGTAGAAAGTACAGGTATTTGTGTTAGAAATGTAAGAAGTAAAAGTAAAAAGTCGTCAGAAAAACAAGTAGTGGAGTAAAGTACTGATACCAGAAAAATGTACTTAAAGGTGGGGTAGGTAATTTTGGAGAAACCAGCTCGAGTGTGCTAGAATTTGAAAATACACAGCCGGAAAAAATCTGCCACTTCCTTACAGAGCCCCTCCTCCAACACACACGAACGCGCACATGACCAATGAGGGCACGAGATAAGTTTGTGCACAGATGGAAGGCTGACAGGCAGGTAGGCCATCCAGTTATTTTAGCCACCTTTAAAGGTGGGGTAGGTAAGTTTGAGAAACCGGCTCGAGATACACTTTTTGTTATATTCCATGGAATGCTCTTAACATCCCGATAGCAATGAATATCTTAAGTGCTTTGACACAAAATCCATAAAAAAAATGTCATCTGTGGAAGCCGTAATACTGTAAAAAGCACGACCAATCATTTTAGCCGGCCCGGCTAAAATAACTGGATGGCCTACCTGCCTGTCAGCCTTCCATCTGTGCACAAACTTATCTCGTGCCCTCATTGGTCATGTGCGCGTTCGTGTGTGTTGGAGGAGGGGCTCTGTAAGGAAGTGGCAGATTTTCTCCGGTTGTGTATTTTCAAATTCTAGCGATCTCGAGCCGGTTTCTCAAACTTACCTACCCTACCTTTAAGTACAGTAAAAAGGTATTTGTACTCCACTACTTCCCACCTCTGCAGAAAAGATAAGTGAACTGCTGACAAATGTTTAAATCGCTGACGTACCTGCACTGTGGCTTTGGGCAACCATGCGAGGGCAATGAACACTTTTTCCTTCATGTTGAAGCCCGCACACAGCACACAGACAAAGGTGAACAGTATTCGAACCAGCAGGGCAATGAGCAGAGAGGCTATACCCAGACCTAAAAAGCAGAAAGACAAGATTCATACAGATGTGTTGCACAATATGACTTCTATTCGTTAACAATTGTATATCAGCAGCACTTCCTCTTAACAGGTTTGGGTAAGGAGTGGCAGATTAGCAGTGACATATAGAAATACACACAGGCTGGCTGCTTACAGTATGTGCTGCTTATACACGGCCCTACTAGAAATATGTTTAAACTGTGTGTTATGTAGGGTGCATGTGCTCATACATCTATCATATTTACTCTTACACCTCGGAGTAAATGTATAGTACACAAGGAAATTAAACTGAGAGCATGGAGGACATTTGTAAATGGCCTAACAGTACTGAAATACTTTTTAATAACA